AGCACCCTGCACTTGTCCGTGTTAAAACGCATCCTGTTCCTGTTAGCCCACCCCTGTAACCTATCCAGATCCCTCTGCAATCTCTCCCTCCCTGCTAGCGTGCTCACCTCCCCCCAGATTTTGGTGTCATCAGCGTCTCTTTGCTCTTAATCCCATGAGGTGATCAAAGGAAGGCTGGGACTAGGAATCCTAGTGGCAGCCCACACAGCACAGGAGCACTTTGCCCAGCCCCAAGGGTGCAGGCCTGCAGCTTGATCCCAGTAACCACTGGGCAGATTCTATTTCTGTGCCTGAGGTAGGTTCACACAGCTGCCCATTGCCGCAGGTCTGTCAGGACTAACCTCACTTTTCACTGGCTGGGGTCTCTTCCCAAGCTTCACCTCCAGGAAATGCAGTGGAGAGATCATGGCCCCAATGTTGCGGATGTCGGCGTACTTCCGCTCTTCCACGGTCAGGGTGGTGCCAGGCAGTCCCGTCAAGGGACCAAGCCCAGGCAGAGCGCCAGCTGTCAGGGATGGGTCTGGAATCTGCCCTGGCATCATAGCAGGACAAACAGCTCCACAGTCTGGAGAGAGACCAAGACATGAGCTGTTAATGGAATTCAGCCAGGAAAAACCCAATGTACCCCAACCCCACCACCACACAAGAGTTCAGGAAGATGTAGCTTTCTCCCAAACCTGTAAAATACCATGTGATGAGGCAACTAATCTACTCAGTTACAGGGCATCCTTCTCTGAGCCGGAGTCTCTATGGTGCTCTTGATGAGGCAGGAGACACCAAATCCCTTTGCCCTCTGCTTTGGTGCTGCAAGCTGTGCCCAGTGAGAGTCTGTGGCAGAAGCATCACTTCAGTCCAGCCATGGACAAACACACAAGAGGGCATCATACCCCTTTAGTGCCTCTGGGAAGGCAAAATGACTTGAAGAAGAGGAGACAACCCTCAGCTCTATAACAGATCAGGTTCAGGTACACATCTGTGAAAGATGCCCAATGGGGATATCTTATCTGGGAGAGGAGCAGATCCATCCCTGTGATGGGAGCTCCCCACCCCACCTCTGTGGCTCTGCGAAGTGAATGAAACTCAGGTGCTGCACAGGAATAGCATACACTCCAAAGAGCATCTCAGGGCTGAGGGTGGAAAGGAATGGCTTCAGAGAAGGGGCCTGGGAGACACCCATATCAGTTATTTACTGCAGTTACTCCAGTGCAAGGCTATAGGGGGAAAGCATGGGCAGGAACACAGGCCCCAGGACCACAATACATGCCAGTGCCCGCAGATCAGCAGTGAGACTCGCTTGGGATGTTGGAAATCCTAGGTCTGAACTACAGAGGAAAGTCTGGACTGGTTACAGAGGCCAAGGAGCATGCCACTAGAGCCCACGTGGAATTTCACAGGCTTTCTGAATGAGGGTGCCTGAGAGGCAGTGATTATCAGGTAGAATATACAAAGAAACAAATAGTAGGTCAAAGGGAATCGACCTGCACAGCAAAGGCATACAACTATCCTGCAGATGAGGATGGTGAGAGAACTCAGAGGCAACAGAGCACAATAACCCCAACGGAGAGCAACAGCTACTGGGACACTACTTGGTCAGTGCTACCTTCAGGCTGAACAGCTTTTTGCTACCAGAGACCACTACTTCTTGAAACACCTTGTTCTGGATCAGATAGGATCTGAAGCTACCTATAAAACTTTGTTTGAAGTAATTCTCAGGAACTGATACAGAAAGAAAGTGCAGTGGAGCCATTAGTGACCAGAACATGCAGGAAATCTAACACTGCAAGGTTTAGGCTGACAATTAAGGCTGTCACAGCAAGACATGGGAAGGGGAACTTTGCCCAAGTAAGAACAAAGAAAAATAAAAGGAAACCAAAGTCCACAGAACCAGCGTGGAAACTGCTTAAGAATAACTTAGAATCATAGAGGGAATCTATTTGCCAGGGCAAACGAAAGGAAACAAACAGGCAAAAAGGAGGAGAAAAAAAAACCCAGGAGGCACAAGAGTTTATTCTGGCCAAGCAGAAAGAAATCCAGCCCAAGTGAGACTAAGGGATAGGGACAAGCTTTGGCAAATCACTTGCAGGCTGGAGGCTGAGGGGAGCTAGGAGGAAATATGAAGAACAGTAGCCAAGAGTATGACATTATTTAATTAGATCTGAAGTGGGAAGCCCACGAAAGAGCGAGTGGGATGCCGAGACCAACAGACTGCAAAGAGTACAGTCAGACGCCAACTATGGAACCTCTGTGTTTGCATAACAGGACTGCAACACTTGCCAAAGACCCAGTTACAATAGGCCCAGTTCATTTCTGTCCACACAGCAGCTTTTTTCACAATGCAACCGTATGCCACCACATTTGTGCACTGCGTTCATTACTCCACTTAGCTGGATTTGTGTCGATGCACTCTGGAAAAGCCTGGGTATGGGCCATCACCAGGTAATCAACATGACACCTATGAAAAAAGTAGTAGATAGAAAAGTCATACCCCTGAATTGGGGTAGCTTCACCCAATCTGATAGAGGATTACCCCGAGAGTCATGGATAAAGCAGTATTGGTGGAAATTACACTGGTTCAGGTTTTGTCTTTCTGCATCCACCATAGTTTGCTAAGGGCAAACAGTCTGTTTTATAGACTCTATTACCTGCTCTCCCAGGCCACCAAGCAGTTACAGTAATAGCCACCTACTGTGCAAGATACCTTGGGATAGTTGCACATCTGCCTGTTTTTGATCCCAGTGTAATTTACATAGGTGTAAAATTTCAACATCTATTCTCCTGGGGTATGTGCTCATCTGTCCATGCCCCTACAGTACCTCATCTGGGGAGAGAGTACTTTGGTGACAAGCACACAGGACTGAAGAGCATAGGGAAATGAATCTTGCTATATCTTGTTACACAGAGCTGGAAGGCAGGGGGACTAGCTGAACAGAGTCAGGTGCTCCTCTACCCAGCCCAGCAACACATTTAGAGCTGATTAGTTACATGAAAGCAGACACATACCAGTGCAGGTAGGAGTTGCCACGGTCACCAAGGGCAGAATCCTACTTCACTTACATGCCTAAATGCCTAAAGTTTTCCAGTCATGTAACTTCCATTTTGGCACTTCTGAACAGTTTGCAATTGCATGCCCTGTGTAGTGTGGACACACGTGTCCACACAGCTACTGAGCATTGCAAACTGTGCCTCAGTGCCGAAGGTGGCAGCTATGCAGATGGAGAACTGCCAACTAGCCTTGTAAAATGATATATAATTCTTCCTTAACTGGACACCGCCTGCGTTGAACTGATGCAAGACATATCATGAGAGGCTATATACTTGGTTTAAAGTTAAGAGTGTGGACACAGCTTCTGGGTGGATAAGAACACTGCAGAGATGCATCAGCTAGGGGTTGATGACCAAGCAGCTGGTTTTGGGAGCTAACTAGAAGAGGGAAAGCAGGTAATAGTGATTAGTTCAAGTTGTTTGGAGCATTTATTAATCTCAACAAGAAGAGGAGAGGAGCAGAAAGAATAAGCCCAGCTGAGAATATAGGTGAGTCAAGTCAAGATGGACTGGAAAGGTTGCCAGAAGATCCCGACTACACTAGATAAGTGGGCACCACAAGGGGAGTCCAACCCACTCTGGAATGAGTCTGTGCACTACAGGGGCTAGGAAGTGGTTGTTACCTCACATAAGGGAGCAAAAACAGTTCATGGAAGGCATCAACATGCAGCAGCAGTCACATAAGTCACTAAAGGATGGGAAACCATTACTGTAAATTCAGGGCAGTTCCATAGGATCAGAGCAGAAAGGAAAAGGCAACAGTCAGAGAGGCACAGGGGAAGGTTCCAGACATAGAGAAGTCAGAAACTCGAGCACTAAACCTGGAGACTACATTGATGCTGCTTGATAAAAATGGATGTCCTTCAGGTACTTCTGCCTATTTGGCATCAGACAGATGGAGAAAAAATACATAGTAATATTATTTGGCCTGAGAAAAAGACAGATTAAATCAGCTGGTTGGGACTCCAAAACCAGAAAACAATATAAGGTATTAACCTTCCTCATGGCAAATGAGAACAAGGCAGCTGCAATTCCACGTTTGGAAGTGGTTACGTTTAACAGAAATACAGAACAATACCCCTACATAGCAAAGCACTGAAGCAGCATGTCATTCGCCTTTTATGCTTTCCAAGCTGATTTATGGCTAAAAAATTTTGCTCTCTCAAGAGTTCATACAACATCCTCTCCGAAAGGCACCACTCTGAAAAGAAGATTGCAAGCAGGTACTCCAGCCAAAATGTTCATGGATTTCATGAACAAGCTGCTCCTCAACAGTAGGAGGATTCAGCTCAAAAAGGTGGACTGCCAAAGGTTATATGATCACAGAACTGGGAATAACTCAGAAAACTACCATTTGGGGATGGTGTGCGTGTGCCTGCAAGTTAGACATATCTAGGTACTGTCACTAAAGGCGGCATGAAACAGCTGGGGAAGAATGCATTTGAAGGTACACCAGTAGCTAAAGACCTACCCCAGGGATAAAGTCTTATCCTTACTGCACAACTTCACAGAGAAATATACAAAAACTGCCAGTCCCAAATTCTAGACCCCAGGCTTTAGATCTTAAAATTTCTCTTTCAGATAATCAGTGACAGAAGCATTCAAATACTCCTTTGAAGCCATTCTTTGGGAAAAACAAGCAAGTCCAATGCTTTGTGCTGTGGAGATCTTACTGGGTTCTTATAATGTCAAGGCAACTGTATGTCTCTACTTGGCTAAGAAAATCATGTTCTGAGAATCAGTCACCCTCATGCAAATGTCGTAAAGGAGCACCAATCCACCCTTTTCCATGTTCCGAGTTGAAAACTGACTCAGGCCCAGGGAGTCAGGGGCCTGACTGCCTTCCTAGCCTTACCCTGATGCTCTGAATCACTCTCCTGGGAGCCGGTGGCTAACTCTTATGTGCTATAGTGCCCAAGTTGGAGGTGCCTGGGGGACAATCTTTATTTTGCCCAATATCCTTTCTGAAGTAGCTTCCAACTGGAAGAACAGCCATTCTTGATGATAATGATCAAATTTTTATTATAGTTTAAGGTTTGGCCTTTACAGTACCACATGTATGATGCAGGCTGTGTGGATGCAGTCAGTAAATCTTGGAGTAGTTTTTAGTGCACCGTAGACCTGTGTCAGTGGTGCAAAGGGCACTTAAAGCTTATCCTAGATGCTGGAACTGCATCCATACAGCCTGTCACACCCATGGCACTGTGAAGGTCAATTTAGGCACGGTAACATTTAGCAATTAGGTACCTGGTCTCAGGTATGTGATTCAAAGTATATAGGTAAGGTTCCACAGCTCAGGAAAGACTCACTACAGAGTTAGGCATATCTGAAAGGCAATTTAGGAATTTGAATGCTCAACCAAAAGACCTTTAGAACTGGCCAGTAGGAAGCACTGGGCACATGGATACATCTGGGTGCCCATCTCTTTCAGAAGCTTAGACACCTTATTCAGGACAGCACATTAAGTATCGCTATGCACTTTAGATCCAGAGACTAAAGTGCCCTTCTGAGGATGGACACCTAATAGACATCATGGGAGTGTCCACCTTTTACGTAACAGCCTAATGGTTAGAGCACTCACCCCAAGTGGGACACCCGGCTTTTAGGTCCTCCTCAGCTTATAGGGATTCAAACTGACATCTCCCACCTCCCATATCAGTGTCTTCTTCACCAGTCTGGGCTTTCAGGACTGTCTCTGGATATTAAATTAGATAGCTTGGTTCTGCTTTCTGTCTAGCTATCAAGACAGGCTTTCATAGATTTCACAGACATTACGGCTGGAAGGGCCACAGACGCTCATCGAGTCCAGCCCCCCACCTGAGGGGCAGGAAGTCAGCTGGGGTCACAGGATTCCAGCAAGATAAGCATCCAATTTACTCTTGAAGGTGTTCAATGTAGGTGCGTGAACCACCTCCGATGGCAGGCTGTTCCAGACCTTGGGGGCTTGGACAAAGAAATTCTTCCTTATGTCCAGCCTGAAATGGTCTTGCAGTAGTTTATGACCGTTCGACCTCGTCATCCCTTGGGGTGCTCTGGTGAACAAACGT